GGATTGTATATATAATTTCTAGTGGAATAAGTCCAGATAGTGTAGAAAAGATTGAAGGTTTGTCAGAAGAATTGTGTATTTGAAGACTATCAAGATTAGAGATTTGGTTATACAATTGACGAATTTGAGCTGGAGAGACTTGAAGTTTGTGAGAAGTTAAAATTGTTTGTATAGAATTTTGGATAAGATGATATAGAGGGTTTGGAGAAGGACAAATTGTCCAGTATAATGTAGTACTGGTTTGTTGACAATTGTAACAAGTATTAGGAAAGGAATAGTTTCTTTTATATAAAATATGAGAGACAGGAAGTTCATCAGTAAGTAACTTAATTCTAAATGTTTTGAGTGTAGAAGATTGGAAACTGTGGGTAAAGTTAGAAACTTTTTGGTTGTCATTAAGATAGAGCCAAGTTACATCCCAGTTGATATACTGAGAGATTTGTATCTATGGTTGGAAGCGGTTTTGGAATAACCAAGTAGCAAAGATTTTTGCATAGCATATTGTTCAAATGCTATGATGAGTAGGAAGTTCAAGAGGGTAATTGTCTACAAAAGGAATGTATGAGGAATTATAAATGTTGCTAGGCTTGAATATAAGATGTGATATATTGAGGTAGTCACGAGCTAGTTGATCTGCTTTATTGTTAAATATGTCATTCTGGTGTGCTTTAACTTTGTGAAAGGTAATTTTTAAGTTATAGGATTTAATAAGGTTGAGGAGTGTATTCCACATAGACCAGTATAGAGTGTTTGAGGACTTGACGTTGGTTATTTGCTGAGTTAGGCTGTTGTACTTGGAGATTACAAATTGAGAGTCTGTAAAGATATGAATATCACAGTTTCTGGGTGCAGTGCATATAGCAAATAGTATTGCGAATAATTCAGCTTTAAATGAACATGACCATAAAGAAATTTGAGCATGGAATATTTGGAGAATATTATTGTTATCGACCTGTAACCATCCAATGCCCATAGAGCATTGAATATTATCAGTACTAATAACAGACCCATCTGTATAGAAAGTAAGATTAGTAGAGTACAAGTTGTGATTTGTAATCAGTTGAAGAGAATTGAGAGCAAGGCTATTAGCAAATATAGGGGAATTTGGAAGGCTTGGATTGTGAGATTTGGTGGTGAGGGAATCTGGGTAGTGTTTTTGAATTTTATTGAGTGTATGAGGTCAAGTGGGTTTGCGTTGAAGTTGATAGATTTGTTAGAGTCAAGTCTACCTAAAAATTTGGTAGCTTGACTAGTTGGAATCAAGATGATACACTTGTTATTAATAAGATTGGAGTTGAGAGAGCAGTTGGAACATGGTGTTGAGGTTATGTTAGGAACAGAATATAATGATAAGTAGGAAGATGTGATATTACTGAGCCAGTAGTTGATAAGTGTGTGTCCAGAGTTAGTAAATTGGTGACGAGCTTTGCCAATAATAATTTGGTTATTGAATAGAGTAATGAGCCAGGGTTTGGAATGTTTGTGGAAGTGATCAGTGTTGTAGCTATAATAGTTTGTAGGTGAGAGGTTGAGTTGAGTAGTAATAATATAGTCATGTAAAGAGTTAATAATAGAGTTTTCAAGAAATGTAAATATATTTTATTTATTTATAATAACAATAATAATAATAATCGTTTATACTAAGTTTTTAATTACTAGATTCTGAAAAATTCACAAGTAATGCTACGAATGAGTTGGGTCAGGTTGGCTCATAACCCACCTGACCTGACCCAAAATTTCGGGTCAGGTCGGGTTAAAAATTTTCGGGTTAGATCTTCAACCTGAACCCAACCCAAAATTTTAGGACTAATATATTAAATTTTTTTAAAAATGAATTCAAATAGCCTTTTTTGCTCTTAGATATTTAATAATTCATGTAATGATGATCATCGAAATTGGCTAATCAAATCTAAACGTGGTATGCTTATAAACTTAGCAGGCTACTACAGTAAGAATCGTGCATTGCATATTCAGAATCAATGAAAATTTTTTTATTATTATCCTAAAATAATATAAAAAACTTTACTGATTTGTGTCAAGAAATTATTGTTCGAAGTTAAAGAATTTAGATGATTATTAAAACAAAGTTAGCAGTTAAGTTTTTCCAAACTTTGATCAATTAGATAAAGTAATTGCTGAGATATTTTCATTAAAGGGTCGAAAAAAGTATATAATATTATGATCAGAGATTTTTAATTTCATTGGCTTGAGATATCAGTAAATATGCACCAATTAGATCTCTTCGATGAATCAAACTAATTTCAATACGTGTAATATTTTAAAGTGAAAACTATACATTAAATTTAGATTAGAAATTGGAAATTTTTTATATTAGAGCGCAGAATGTGGTTTCATAGTCAAAATTTCAAGTTATGCATCGACAGCTTTTTAAAAATTGTAATTTTCACATTGTACTCATAGCAGATTCTCGATTTTGATTGGCTAAGAGCAATGAACAAAAATTTGCTGGTGGTTTCTTCTTTTTTTTTTCCTTTCTTCCCTTTTTGTGCAATTTTCTTTTATTTCTTGGTGAAAGTTAATTATGGCCAGAAATTAGTAAACAATTATATAATGTTGGCCAAAATTTGCAGATCTGCGGCCATTAACCAATCAAAAATTGAGTGACAATTTTGTGTCGATCATTTGAAGAAATCTGATTGGTGTATACTTGACTGTTTTATTTAAAATATTATTTAAAAATACATATCCACTTGCTATTAGAACCAAAAAAAAAACATAAAATGCTAATTTTGCACATCTATAAATTGAATAATTTTCAGGTTGAGGTTGGAGTCGGGTCAGGTTGATGTTCAACCTGAACCAAACCAGAAATTTTTGGTCAGATATTTCTAACCCAAACCTGACCTGACCCAAAATTTTGGGTCGGGTTTTCAGATTAAGCAAACCCAATTCAGAGCATTATTCCAGTCAGAAGATTTACTGAATTAGGAAATCTGATTCTAGAATGATCCACGTGCCGGATCTCAGATTTGATTGGTTTGTATATACCCTTTGGTCAGCATTCTTCGGGAATTTTTTATACATCTAACTTATTATTAAAGACTCACAAAACGATACCTTAATAGACGGTAAAAGACTGCTAGTTTCAATAATCAAAATTAATCAGTGTTGGTTAACTCTTGCCAAAAAGGTGAATGAGACTCAAAAAATTGCAAGATTTTATACATTTAAGAGGCCAACGTGCGAAAATCCAAGAACTATCACAACAAGATTTTGACTGGACAAAGAGTGATCTTTGAATTGTGAAACTATGAAGTTGAATACAGTAATAGTACTCAGTGTCGAAGATAAGTATATATAATTATTGGTTTGAAATTTATTATTATACTTTGTATTTACATTATTAATTGGCACCTTAAAGATATCGATCACATTAAAATAAGCTCTGAAGAAGACTACAATTATAAAGTAAGCATCAAGATTTTAATACTTTCAGTATGATTAACCTAAGTTATTTTATTTATTTTATTAACAAGTTATTATAGTCAAATACGGTAGAGCTATTGTGGCATCAAGAGCAGTCAAACTTTCAGTTGATTGCTATCACTTATAATATGGTTGTATTTATCAATATGGTATTAGTGTTATTAAAGACGAAAAGAAGGCTTTTGATTATTATTTAAAAGCAGCTGATTTAGGAGATTTGGATGCGATGAATGAGATTGGTCTTTGTTATGAATATGGATTTAGTGTAGAAATAAATTACCAGAAAGCATTTGAATATTATAAGAGATTTGCTGATTTGGATAATGCTTATGCAATGCTTAACGTCAACTTTTCAAGAATAATAGAGAAGCTGATAAGTTTATCAAAGCTTCGAAGAGAAAGCAAGTATAATTTTACTTTTAAATGGTTATTACTAATCAAGTTTTTATTTGGAAATACTAAGTTTTCTGGAATTCCTAATGCATATTCATTCCAGGATCTACAGTAGGTGCGAAACTTTGCGACCATAGCATATAATCCACTGTTGAATCAATGTTACAGAGATTATTTTGTTGAAATGGTTCTACTTCAGTAAAATTTTGTCTATCGTATGGGAAATATGCCACAGTATTTAAAGTTGTTGAAGTAGGTTGTTTATTATCTGATTCACTGAATGATTCATTAAATGATTCACTAAATGAAATGGAACTTTATTCTTATTAGAATCTTTTACGATCTTAATTGCTACTTCTTCATATTACCTGATTGATTTAAATATTTGATTCTAAAAATTTTTTTTTTTTTGATAATATAGATGATCTAATATGCAAATGGATATATATGTCGTACCCTCCATTCAATTAAATCTTCATAGTTCATGGCTTTAAGTTGTAATTCTTTAATACAATCATCAACATCCTTATTTCTACTCACCCATCCTTGTGTTGTTTTCTGAAGGTCACACGTCTGACACCAAGCTGGCGATGTATTATACCAATTGTAATTTGCACATTTTCTATTTTTACTTTTTCTTGCAGTACTAAATTTATCAAATACCAACATGTACTCATTTTTTGTAGTGTGTTGAGTTAGTCTATATACTTTAAAGTTACTATTCCTTAATCGCATTAATCGTATGAGATCTTTAAACTTATAATAAATGGAATATGAATATATTTATAAGTTAAAATTGATTCAATAAATAATAAACTTACTTTTTTAAAAAAGTTTACTGAATTTTGAAAACTATGCAATATTTTAAGCTCTACTCTACATGATTGTATACGTGATTGTGTGAATGCCTTGTTTTCATTCTTTTTAGTTCCAATTCCATATTCGTAACAATATTCAAGCCTGTAAGTTCTGTCTGGATCACTCATATCTGTCAATTTTTGACAACTAGCAAAATTTAGTTGATTAAAATTATTAATTAATTTGTTCAAATTTTCGTTTGACATTTTAATTTAAAAAAAGTAATACAGTACATCGAAACTGTAAAATTTACTACTTGCATTGGTTAAGCAATATAGCCTAAATTATACCTGTACAACTTTCAGCAATAGCATGTGCATTCCTGTAAATTTCTCTTATCAATCCGGGTACAACATATACGTTCAAAGAAATTCTTACTATCAATAATTCAAACTTATCTAATATTTATTATTATTCGGGGGATTTCCCAAATTAGGAATCGGGATTAGAAAAATTTATGCAATCTGATTGGCTGTATGCTTATTAGAAGTGCGATCCGTAAACTATTAGTTAATATAAATAAACTGTAGTTTATTGGTTTAAAATAAACTACAGTTTATTTATATATACTGTAATTCACAGTTCACATTACTTTTTTTTGCCATTTCATCATTAATATAAAAAGTCTTTGAATATTGTATATAATATTCAATCTTAAGATTTGTTAATCAGTCGAATTTTACTTTATTAGCCAAAGTAAGTGAGACCTCAAATTATACATTCATGTAGAGATTCATATCACTTTGTAGAAGTTTATTTTATAGATACCTTGTTTTATAGACAATCAGTTTATAGACAAGTTCATTTTAAAGACAATTAACTTATAGATAGTTTATGTTATAGACTTATAAACAAATTTATTTTATAGACAATCTTTAATAGCAAATAACTTCTAAATTCGTATTAAAGACAGTTTACAAAATGAAATGTCTATAAAATGAACTGTCTATAAAATGAACTGTCTGTAAATTAATTGGCTTTAAAATAAACCTATCTATGAATTGATTGCCTGTGAAACAAGATGTCAGTAAAATAAACTTCTACGAAGTGATATGGACCCAGTTAAGTACATATAAAAGAACATATTTTTACTTTGCATTTGAGGGCTTTGCCTTGAAAATCAAGTTATGGAACATATGATTTACTATGTCCCATAACATGATTTTCAAGGCAAAGACCCCATTTTTTTTTTTTTATAGTGTCTACTTACCAAAGACCTAAAGTGCATACTCTCAAGTGCATTTTTGCTGACCTTGTTGAGCACTATAGAGCACTTTAGTTGAGACCTTGTGAAACTAGTGAATTACAAACATGGCAACATGCTAATAGTGCAAATATAGCTAAGAATTTTTTAAAATATCATGATTATATTCCTGAACTTGTTGAACTTCAATTTTCTTTAACAAATTATTCAATTTGTCAGATACATTACAACCAAGTAATTAATACTAATCAGTTTTATCAGCATATTATAGGCTCTGATCAAGAAAATAAAAGAACCCGACTTGACAAGAATAATTTAGATATTGCCAGTTATGTTGATCCAGCAGTTGAACTCAATCAAACTAAAAGGCTTTTAGAATTAGTACAAGTAGAAAATCAGCAAAAATCGCAAGAAATAATAACTCTTAACAACCAAATAGTACAAATACAACAGTATATAGATAGCCAAAAAGATGAAATTAAGATGTTAAGAGGCCAATTACAAAAAGCTCGTGATGAAACTATTGAAATTCAGAATTTATATTCTGAACAATACAAGTACAAAGAGACTCTTATTGAACAATGGAATTCAAGATATGCTAATCAACAAAAGTGTATTGACACAATTGTTGAAATAGCAAACACAGAGCGTGTATCATTTTTCGATGATGTGAGAGTATTAATTCAAGATAAAAATAAATTCTCTATGAAAAATATTGTATTATATAGTCCCTGTGAGTGGCTTAACAAAAGTAATCAAGTTGTTGTTAAATTTATTGAAAATTTTGTTAAAAATAATAGAGATACTAATATTTTAAGTTAGGAAAAGCTTTTTAAAATTGCTGTTATAGTTGATTCACTATATGGTGCATGACATGAAAAATATGTATCAGAAATTCAGCTTGTTCTTTTAGCTATTAAGTACTTAATCGTACAATCAAAGATGATTATCAATATTGATAATCATATTACAAGTTCAGAAAGTCATAATCGGTTTCAAAGATGGATAAAAGAATTAACAAAATATAAAAAACCATTACCTGAAGGTCTTTTGTTTCTTGCATTTAATAATGAACAACAGGGACAAAAAAATTATTTTGATCGAGAATTTAATACTGTGGTTTACTATACTGTTACAAGTTTTGTTGTTTTTAATATATCATTACAAAATAGAATTAAACATACTACTAATTCACCTTGGGCATATAATTCTCTTAATATTCTACAGTACGATGAACTTTTTAAAATTAGTCTCCAAATGCAAGAAGCTGTCAATGAAGAATTATATAATTATCTTGATAATCTTTTAAATTTATTGTCTCAAGAGAAATTATCCTTAACTAATACTATTAATTCTCTTGTAGCATCTACAGGAATTAAAATTACCAATATAAAAGTGTGCACTAGCTGCCACAAACAAGAAATTAAAAATCAACAAAAAGTTTGCTCTAGCTGAGAAACATGATTACCTACATTAGCTAAACTTCAAAAGGAAAAAGTAGTTAAAGAGGAAATTAGTAAGGCTGACAATTCGCTTGTTTTTAGGCTATATAGTATTAATAATGAATCAAGTTTGAATTCTACTAATATTTCTAGAATCAGTATTACTCAATGATGAGTTATTGATCAATAAATTAACATTTCTGATATTTATATTCCTGATCCAGTTAATATTAATCCTAATTCAATTGCTAATATTAAAAAAATTCTTTTACATATAGAAACAATTACAGGAATTAAAAAACTCGCAATTGGGTGGCAGTAACTTGTGATAGTGTTCCATACCATCATGCTCTAAAATTGAAGAAAAAATTTCTATGGCTAGTTCTTATCTTAGGGCCATTATACAAAGAAATGAATATTCTACGAGTAGGGTATGTAACGGGTCGGGCCTAACCCGAAATTTTGCAGATCGGGTCAGGTTTAAGTCTGGGTCAGGCCCAAATTTTAGGCTCGCTATAAATCGAGTCAGGCTCAGGTTGGGCCTAATAAAGTATTGGGTCAGGTTCAGGCCCTGTTATTTGACTCGCAAAAACCCATTAAACTTCTAACATAATACATTGATTTTTGAGAGTCAAATTCAAATATATATTAACTTCATGCAACTAGTTTCAAATTTTACTTTATTAAAAATTCTTTCATAAATACAACTTTTAGAGCATACATTTATTATATTATTCAATTTTAAGCTGTGCACTTTTAATATTTTTGATTGGCTATATCCAGAAAATGTGAACCGAATGTGAAAAAAATTTAAAAATAAGATGATCATAGCTAATTGTCTTTTCTTATACTCAGTTTACATTTTTCTGATATGACATATCAAGATGTTAAAGTGCATAAACTTAAAATTTTATAGACACAACACTTCACTGACCAATATGATGATTTTACAGGCAATCAATTCACAGACAGTTCACTTTATAGAAAGTTTATTTTATTGACAAGCTTATTTTGTAGACAATTTTTCACCAATAGCTCATTTCATAGATAAAGTAACTCTAGTAATTGTCACTAGTGTTAGTTTAGAACTAGGATTAAGTTTAGACTAAATTTAAAAAAAACTTTCTGTAAAATGAGCTATCAGTGAAAAAACTATCTATGAAATAAACTTGTTGGTAAAATATCTGTAAATTTATTGGTTGTAAAATAAACATGGCGGTAAAGTAGTGTTTACAATAAAATAGATCCATATCATTTCACTAGCAATTATTTCGATGACAAATTGATTCACTGACAATTATTTTACCAACATTTAGCTTACTAACATAATTAGTTTGCCGACAGCTCATTTCACTGACAAATTCCTTTTATAATATTAATGAATAATAAATTACTGAGATGAAGTAAGTTTAGTGATGAGATCCGGGTTTAATATTTAAAGAATAGTATTGAGGTGGTTCAGTTTGTAAAGTATGTGAGGTTCTATTGAATTATAAAATTAGATTATCAGTACATATCTGATATTGTATATTGTTTTAAGATAGCATAACATTATACCTAACGCTAATGAATGATTAGTCCAAATTCAGCAGATCGAGATCTGGAATAGGCCAGAACAAATAATTTTTTCTAAATTTACTCAAACTTTCACCAATAAACCTATATATTAAGTAAAATTGTTAGCTATTAATTTTGCTATAGTATTATTATATTAGTATTATGTTTAATACCGCCTAGCTCTGGCATATTTTGGCTCTAAATTTTTGCGTGACTAATCTATTCACTAAAATAATAAGAAATAGATCACAAAAGTAATTAAAGAACCAATACCAATTTTTTTATTTTTATTTTTAAATTTTTTTTATATAATTATATTTTACCCAAAAATAAAACAAGCCTATTACTATTTTATTCGATAAAACTAATTTGAAACTTACAAATTCTCACACTCTTTGCTAAATTAAGAATCAGATATATGGTGTATGCGAATTACTTTAATTATATATTAAAATATGCATACTTCTTAAATAATTACTACATACTATGAAATTACTAATAGTATATCCATACATACGTACTGTACAATATATACAAAAAATAGTGCTAAATTCCGTGAAACCGATCATCAAGAATAATATTGATTCAGAAAAAAATTAATTTAATCTTTATTGAACAAAAAAAAAATACTTTAACCAGAACTATTAAACACTGCCAATCAACAATTATAGCCTTCAATATCCATTAAATATAGAAAAACATTAGCCAAAGAGCATTCTTAGCGCTTCAATTAATAGATTAAAGTATGTTAAAAATAAGTCAGAAATTAAATTTTAATTAACGGAAAGTAATTTTAATCGATTGATTGAGCTTGTCATTAAGATGAGTAAGGTAGTTTATTATGTGAAAAATATTTTAAATAGTAAAAAATGAGAAGTGAGTTTTCTATTTCAGTCAAAAACTTTTTAACCCTAACCATCTTTTTTTTAGCCTGACTTATCTTTTATTTTGGATTTTCATTATCGACTTATATTTTTATAAATTTTCAATACACTATTTAGAATCCTCTCAACTTGTGATTGTGGTCTTTATTTTAACCTATTGTTGCAATTGAGCATCACTACAATTATTAAAAAATAATAGTAATAGCAATATTTTAGCATATATCAATAATATCGTCATTTGTATTATTGACTTTTAAACAAAATGTTATGCCAATAGCTAAAATTACATCATAATACCCAAACTATTAAACTTTAGATCTTCCTTAACAATATAACAATTGTTTAATTTAAAAACTTCGAACACAAAAAAACAAGGTAGCTACTTTTAAAAAATTTCTACTCTGAAATCCCGAATGACATTTCTCCAAAAAGACCCAATAATAATTAAAGTAAACTGCCATCTTAACTAATATTAGTTAACTTCTTCAATACTATATATTCTCCAAATTCTGCCTTTCAGTATTTTAGAATATAACATTATTTAGTCCGATTAACAATCATTAAAGATTAATTACTTTTTATATTTGAATTGCAAAATAGATAAAAATACTGAAGTAATGTTTTTATAATAAATTTACAAAAAAAAAAAAAAAAAATAGAAAAAAGTAAGTTACATTCTGATCATTTAATAATCAAAATAATAATCAAAAAAATACTTACGATTTATTAAAAAAAATGTCTAAGAAAGCATTCTAAAGACATCAAAATTATTTCTACCACATATATACTCAATATGTAACAAATATATATATAAATTTATAGAAGAATGCTCTTATCAATAAATAAACCTTAACAAAACATATTAAAAAATAAAGCTCCCAGCATATGAGCAAGTGTAAAATTAGCTTCAATATTATGATAAATTAAAAATTTGATTTTATACAATATTCTACATTCAAATATACCACTAAATATTATATATATTTAGACGAGACAA